ATACACGCATACGTACATACATACATACACACACACACACAATATCTGCCTCTCTCTCTGTGTGTGTGTGTATGTGTATGTGTGTATGTGTATGTGTGTATGTGTCTATGTGTATGTGTGTTGGTATGTACGCAAGCATGCGTGCTTGCACGAATATATACATGTAAGTAAGTACGTACATTTGTGTACGTATGCATGCCCGCTGCATGTACGTACAGATGTGTGTATCTGTGGATTCATGCATGCATGCATGCATGCATGCATGCATGCATGCATTTATATGCATGTGTTTACGTAAGTGTGTATGTAGGTACGCAGGCATGGGGAATGTAGGTATGTATCTTTGTGAGCATGCACGGATGCATCTATTCACCAGGAAGTAGTGTAGCGTAGTGTAGTCGTGCAGAGCCATGTAGTGTAGGGTGCTGTGCTGGACTGTGGTGCACTGTGATTGTGACTGTGGATGTGTATGTATGTGTATGTATGCGTATGAATATGTATGTGTTAAGCACACACATACTAAGCACACACACACATATACAGATATGTACCCATACATATATATATATATGTGTGTGTGTATGCATGGAACATATAAACACTTTATGACAATGCGTCGAACCGTCCAACTGGCACAAGGCTCCCGCGACTCCACTTGCGGCAAGAACGTCGTGATGTGGGACCAGGCGTATGTCTACCGGCGTAAGCCACATGGGCATAATCCTAAACCCAAAACCCTAAATCCTAAACCCTAAACCCTAAATCCTAAACCCTAAACCCTAAATCCTAAACCCTAAATCCTAAACCCTAAACCCTAAATGAAAGTCCCAGGCCTGAGGCGGCACGCAGGCCCATGGCTACTTGGAATCTGTCAGTTGTCTTTCGCACGCCCCGCCCCGGAGGAGCTGCACATAGGCGCATAGTTGGGGTGAAACTGCTGCAGGACGGGCGACGAAGATCGCCGCACCGTCGGGCAGACCGAAAGCGTCTGTGCGGGGAAAACAAGCTGAATTCAGATGAACCTTGCCTCCATCCGCAGTAGCCGTACATGATCATGCCTTCCTCCTAAGCACGGGGGCGACGGTGGGCCTGACTGTGATTGGTGTTGGCATGATCGTTCATGGCGATGTTGGGCTTTGCATTGTGTCATGTGCCGCTGCCGTGAAGATGTGTCAAGCATCAGTGCAGCGGCTTTGATGTGTATCCAGAAAGGTGCCACTCGCTACCCAAATAACTAAGTAGGGGTGCATCAGCATCAGAGACTCATCATTTTTCTGTTCTGCGTCATGTCAGCACCGAGGCTTAGTGCCAGCGAGATTGTTTCCTTCTGTCGTGCCCAAAGACAGCAACCCAGCTAGTCCGATGCTATACTGCAAAAAGTAAGTAAGACCAGAAAAAACTTACGGCCCTAGCGAGAGGGCTGATGGACCTGGACGATGGCACAGCCCGTGTGGGCGATCGTCTTCCGCGGGCCAGGCTTGCGGATGTGGCTCGCGTGAGGGACGAGATTTGGGGCGCTCCTTGGCAGGAGCGGCCGTTTAGGATTTTAGGATTCAGGGACCTGCGGGGTTTAGGGATTTGGACCTCAAGATGGGCTTCAGCCAGGGTTGATTCTAATTCGGGTTTTCAGGATGTCTGAGGTCACAGCTAGCAAAGGGGCTTGAAAGGCCTTGAGGAGGCAGGTTTCACTGCTTTTGAGCTGCCCGCTGCTTTGGCTGTCCGGGCTTTTCCTCTGAGCTCTTCGGTGTTTCGCAGGGTCTGCTTGCGCACCCAAGCTCAGGTGTCGACATAGCCTCAGACGACTTCACAGCTTGATGAGGATCATAACAGCAACCGTTTTTCCAGAGCTGGGACGGCGAACCGGTAAGTAAGAAAGGCAAGACACGCCCCGGGCCAAAGACTGGAGGCACAAAGAAGCTTCGTAGGGAGAGTAAGCATTGCAGCATCGAGCCCTCTAGTGAAACGAAGGATGGACTTGGCGAGACAGCACGCCTGAACCTTAAACCCTACCCGATGCCTGCACCGTAGACTTTGCTTCGAAGGTTGTATACCGGCCGTCAGAGATCCTTTCCGAAGACGAATATCTGGTCAAGGTATGGCTCGTGCAGTTGCAGGGGGTTGAAAGCGGCATCCTCCGTTGGGATGCCCCTTAAGCGCAGTAACGGCATGTGCGTTTGCCGGTTGATTGCTTTGATTGGATTCGTTGGTTTCGTCTTTCGGCAAGCACAGCTGCCTCCTGCGCCATCATGCACGAACTAGTGTTCCGAAGCTTGCCGAGGACTTCATCCCTTCGTGCAAGTCGTGCCATGCGAAGCTCCTGCCTGTTCTTGATGACCAGTGCTCTTGCTCTGTGTGCGGTGGTCGAAAGGGGCCGAAGCAGTGCGTGCAGTTTGAGTGCCGTGGAGGCCTCGAGCGTTCAACCTGCGAGCCTTCAGAAGGCGAATCCGAGAGACAGGCCTACTGTGGCAGTTACCCTTTCTTTGGTGGCTATTCTGCCATCGAGCAGGTCCATGGGGATGTTGGCCCGGCGTTGTGGCAGGAAAAGCTCGACAGCACCGAAGGGTTTGAGGTCGTGATGGCTGCCTCCATGTTTTTCGAGGCTACCGGGGACGACTGCGGATGGCATGCGGAAGCTCACATTTTTGCTGATCGGTTGCAGGAGTGCACTGTCGGTGTGTAACGTTTGTCTATCACTGTACGTTACAGCAGTGTCTGACATGTGCCAGGATACTCGCTGTACCCGAGTGCAAGTTCGACCGGATGGGAAGTCGATCCTCACGCCGACGCAGGTGAAAATGGGTGGGCAGTTGTCAGCTCCCGTCTCCTCGGCAGTTGTTTTAGCAGAAGCCTGGCCGCCGTCAAGTCGTTGGTTTCAAGACCTGGCCTTCACATACTTGTTTTCTCGTGCCAGGCACGAGCCCCATCCTTGAAGCATGCCGATTGAGCGGGTTTTGTCCAGGAATCGCACAACCACGGCCTATACATCTTGTTGCAGCGGTGGGGGAACAGCAGTTGCGTCATATCACGTGCGACTGGCAAAGACGCCAACAAATGGACTGAAGTTGCTGCCGCTTGCCTTGTTCAGCCCTGTAGATTCTGTAACAATGCCCGTTTCATAGACTTTGATTCTGCCAGTCTGTGCTGTCGATTTATGTATATAAGTTGTTGCTGGCTGCCTGTGATGCGCCAGTTTGGCCAAGCGGTGAGTGACTTGGATTTGCCGTGGTGTCCTGTATGGTCAGCGGCTTTCATGTCAGATCATGTCAGGAATTGTCATGCCCGGATGTCTGCAAAGATTTCAAGCAGCAGATTGCGGAGATCCGTGATCCTACGAAACCAGGCTTAGCTTTCCTCGTGGGGCTGTCCAAAAAGAGTTTGTGGATCATGGAGGTTCCATGCGGTGATCTGGAATATGGGGATCTCACAACGGCACAGCAATTGGCCAGCAAAGCTTCTGAGCTGCACAGCCGTACCGTGTTACGATATATTGCAAGTTATGCTCCGCCCTTGCAGCACCCTTAGCGCTATCCGGCAGGCTTTTGAAGTTAGTGCCTTGTTATGCATGGCCTAGTACCTTTGTGTTGCTTCCCTAAGGTTCACTGGAGAAAACTGATGGATCTCCCTGGCTTGGATGCCGACAAGGCAGAGTTAGCGGACGGCGAGAGTGACTGGGACGACGATGAATCGCGACCACCTCGCTTCATCTGCAGGGGGCCGCAGGAAGATGAGGTCATCATCTTCTCCGAGACTGGCGTCTCAGCCGCATATTCACACTATGTCCCAGAAGGCTGAACGCCAAACCACTGCAAACCCTGATCTCTAAGCCGACCTGTTCTGGGGGACATGCGGCATGGCGTTTTGTAGTCCAAGGCTCGTGTCTGCAGCCATGGCTGCTGGTCAAGATAGGAGGCCTTCCGGAGTTTGCATGGTCTTGGAGTCTTGAAGGGTTCAGGAGCCTGTGTTGTTTAAGGGTTCAGGCTTTTCTTGAGGTGAAACTCAGTGTTTCGAATAAGTGTTGCAGAAAATCCAGCTGTTTCGGGTTTACGTGTGGAGTGTTGCGTTGCTCTTCAGAACTGAGAGAGGCGCGACAGTGGGCACAGAGATTCGCACAGCTTTGTTGACGTCGATTGCATCGGTGCCTTTGCAAGGGAAGCAGGCTGCCCGATTTGTCGCCCCAAATGTGACGGCAGTTTTTTTCTTTTATCGTGGTTTACAAAGCCGATGTAATGGTAACTTTATCATGAGAACTTCAGTGTGGGGTTTGGGGGTCTTGGGGGAAGCCATCCGGGAAGGCTGGAGCCAAGCACCATTGTTCGGCCTTCGACACAGACCAGATTACGTTGCTGCCAACGGTTGTCCGCATGGAGCAGTGGCACGCCGGATACCTGTTCTTCGACGGCCTTGGCCAGATCTACCGTTTGCGAGACGAAGAGATTATGCTCGCAGAGCATGCATCTTGTCAAGGGAAGCAATCCTGAGGCTCCGTGTGGTTGGTCGACTCGACAGGGATCTCTCAGGGAGAACTTATGAGTCTTATGAGCTATGAGCACAGAAAAGACCCACCCGTAGATCGAATCCGTAAACATTCATCCGCAGGCCGTTCTGTGTGCAAGTAAGACGATGACTATAATCCGTTCGGCAAGGTCGCGTGAACCCTCGAAAGTAGCTAACACCCTGAGAAGCCCAGCTTCTGGGTTGCTCATCAAGGCATGGATCGCCCCCAGTTTCGTCTCAAGTGCTTCGCAGCGGTTGGTGACGTTTACCTTTCACGAGGGTGATGCAAAGCGTTCTTGCCTTTTCTCCGTGTTGGAGCGCTTCGAGTACTTCCAGAAGGCTTTTGGGCAATGGCAAGAGGGCCATTCTTCGGAGATGTGCGTCGTTGACGTGGAGCCTGAGACCTTCGATGTATTCTTGCAATACTTGCACTCGGGACGACTCGGGACGCTTCCGCTGCAAACCTGGGTTTCCTTGCTTCAGCTGGGCAACATGTATATGATGCACCATTTGGTGGCTGTCAGCATGGCGCGGATCCTTGGTGTCTTGGTCTTCTTCAGTTGTTGAAGGCATGTGCTGGCGCGTCCTTGTTCGGATCTGTGCTGTTGTAATCGTACTAATATTGTGGCAAAGAGCGGTGTTAGCAATTCAAAGCAGTTGTTCCGGCTGTGAAGAAGGCTTTGGGCCGAGATAGAAAACACGTTCCTGCGAAAGAGGAAAGAAAGTCCTCGAGGATCAAAACCAGCTAACAATGAGAGCCTCGCTTCACCGCTACAACTCGAGCAAAACATCGTGCCATTGCTTGCCGTTCGCTACAGGCACTCTTGATGATGAAGAGCTTCTGGGCCAGGAGAAGCCAACTGTGCTTGCGGACCTGCTGGCTTTTGCCAGCAAGTGCGGGGACGTTTTCAAACGCAAGGTCATGGATCCGCTTCTGCACTCAGCTCCAAAAGGGGTGTTGCAGATTAGACTTCATACGCCGGTTTTCCACACTGGTTGGTACTGTCTTCGGAAAACTCAGGACGCTATCGCTTGCAACCGCTCCAGTCTTGTGGTGGACAGAGACTTCCTGGCACGGGTGTCGAGCAGTTCGGTCGATGCGCTCTCTCATTTGCTGGACTCGCTGTTGAAGCCAGACAGTTGCCCAACAGCACAGCATTCGTGTTTGCATGCCATGTGGCGAGTCGTAAACTTCTTAGTTTCTGTTCCGGTAGAAAATCCATGTTGCGGGCCTGAACCCTGAGAAATCAAGGATGCTTCGACTGCCCGGAGGCCAAGAGACGAAAGGCCCACCAGACTCGTCAAACGGCTCTTTGGAGACATGCCAGCGATGCGCCATCATGGAGCGGGCTTTGACAAGATGCGCGCCTCACTGCACCGACGCTTCCTCATTAATTCATTGAGGTGGGCATCGCCAAGATGTTGCCATAGTCAGGCACTCTGAAAATGAAAGTGTACTCGCACCGCCAAAAGTGGGTTGGTGGTGCAAGCGCCCCGAAGGGGTGAAGGGAGAGAGGAGTCATTCATGTTGGAATGGACTCCGTGTTCCGGCTTCAAGAAGCGAGGAAAACTAAGAACTGTTGCATGCGCATTGAAACCCTACAACACTGAAGCCTGAACTGATTTTGTGGTTATGCCCCCGGTCACGGAGACTACTAAAAGGTTTATCTGCTCTGTAAGCCTTCGATCAACCATTACACATTTCCCAATATTGGTCACTAAATAACAACATTATTCTAATTTTATCCCTATTATTCGCCCTTTATTAATGGCTATCGTAATATGCGCCCTGATAGCACTTCGAAGATGATCCTCAATAGACTTAATACTTTCTCTAATTTGACCCCGGCATATGAAGAAATCATAATGATAACTCTGATATCCTGGATCTTGTTCTATATTAAATTTGTGCTACTACCTCTTTCTGTGGCCCAAAATTGGTTCGAATAATATATTGATTATTATTAATCGACGATTACTAATGTTAAACGGCATCGAATCTTGAGAATTTTGATATACGAATTTAACTGGTAAGATTATTATATAATTCACATAAATAATAAATAAAATACGTTGATTTTCGTTTCGAAAACCAATTTTAATTAAAGAAAAAATGTATATTTTTGGTGTATAAAATTACTATTTCTATTAAAAAAATTGGTTGTATAGGAGAAAATTAATCTTCTTTTCTCATTAAAATATGATTTTTTCACTATATATGATTAGATTCTAAAAAAGATATTTTCTTAAAAAAAAATCTCTCCGTTTTGGTAAAACTTATTGTTTTCGGCGGTAAAGATAATTTCTCCCGAAGAAAAATATGATTTTAGAGACCAATTTTGTCTTAGGAATAGTCAGAAAATGAATCTTTTTGGAATTTGGTCGTATAATTTCCAATTTTTTTTTAAATCTTTTTTGATTCTTTTTTGGATTTTTTTTTGGGAGGGGGTTAAAATCATTTTTTGATAAGATAAAATGAGGTTTTCTCCGAAGATCTTTTTTTCTTCGGAAAATTATTTTATTTTATCTAATATTTTATTTCTCAATAAAGGCTTGGATTTTCTCTCGAAAAGATTTTTTTGTAGGGAAATCCCAAAAGACTTATAAATTCTTAAGAAATGATCTTTTTGATTTTAATAGTTAACCTCTTGAAATATAAATTTGGTTTTGGTGATCTTTGAGAGATATGGAATCTGGACTTGCCGGAAAAATGATTTAATACGATATTTACGATAGAAAATAAGGATTTTTGGAGATTTTTAGATAAATATATATATATATTGAAGTATTTATTTATTTCTATTTATATTCTATAGATTTGATTTTATCTTATCTTTGAAGAAATTATTGAAAATATCTCTTCTATTAAGTTGATTCTTTTGAATATCTATTTCTAATTTGATTTTATATTATATTTTATCTCTTTATTCTTTAGAGATTTTTTTGAATTAATTAATTCGTATTTTTTCTCTATATTCTTATGAGAGATTTTTATTATTTTTTGATCGGCATTCTTTTTTCTGAATTTCTTATTTATTCTTCTGTCTTTATCTTTCATTATTCGCATTCTTTCAATTTATATGAATTCATTCGCTCATATCATTTATTTCACTCATTCATTCATTCACTCATTTATTATTCATTCATGCGCTCACGTTATTCATTCGCTCACGTTATTCATTCACTCATTCACATACTCGTTCGCGTCATTCACCAGACGGAACATTTGGTGGTCCCACTCTACCTCTACCTCCGAGTGTATTTGGGGATTCTTAGCAAGCGTAATATTTGCTGGCTCCGCTCTATCTCCGGGCGTGCTGGGAGATTCTTAGCAGACGTAGCATATCGTGGCCCCAAGCTCCACCCCCGAATGTGCTTATGTACAGGCGCAACATTTGACGGGTATTTCGTGGCCCTACTCCGCCCCCGAGCGTGTATGGATTCGTATAGCAGCCGCATTTTTTGGAAGAGCGCTTGAAGGAGAGATATCAAATATTGTGTTTGCTAGGAATTCTCAAGCGCGTTCGCTGGCACATTCGGAGGTGGAGCGAGGTCTGCAAATGTTGCGTCTGCTAAGAAGTATAACCGGGGATGGAGCGGAACCAGCACCTACTAGGAATCCCTAACTCGCTCGGGAACGAAATGTTACGCCGGCTAGGAATCCCCAAACGCATTCGGAGAAGTAGCCTCTGTTTGTTGGGAATCCCCAAGCGCGGCAACGTGCTGCATGGATTGCTAGGAGGGGCTAACCTCTCTTTTTCTTTCTCTGGAGGGGGTGCCCGACACCATTTTCCATGGAGGACGTTGTTCTTGCACAACGTGGCACAACCCCGAATCCGAATTGAGCCGTTTGTAGGAAAGTTTTATCCATCTTTTCTCCTTTCGGATCCTTTCCCGATTCCCCACCAACGGTAACTGTAATAACCACCTCTACGGATTTGGCATCGTATCCAATTATAAAAAGTCAATACAAGCCGCGATGGGTGTGGGCTCACAAACACGCTCGGGGGCGGAGGTAGGGCCACCAAATAGGGGAGGGGGGCCCCGAAACGTACGCGGGGAGGTTTGGGCCACGAAATGCTGCGCCTATTAGAATCTCTAAGCACGCTCGGAGGTAGAGCGGGGCCGCGAATTGCTGTGCCTGCTAGCTAAGCCCCAAGCGCGTTCGGGGGGTAGACACCAAATACTGCGCTTGTTAGGAATCTACAGGTGTTCGGGGATGGCTTGAGACCACGTATTACTTCACTCATTAAGAATTCCCAAGCCCAACCTCGTGGGAGTGCTTCTCCAATACGCGCTTGACATAAGATTTTGTGGCCATATTCTACTTCCGAGCGCGGATGAAGATTCCTACCAGACGTAATATTTATTGGTCTCCCTGGAGCCCGCTTAGCCTAGGAATTCAAAGCGATATAGAGATACTTTCTTTGCCAAACTTCTCATATGGCGAAGCACATGGCGAATTCTCTAATGGATACGAATCTAATGATCTCTCGCGATCGTTTTGTTCTACGTGTGGCTACCGAATATAGACTAATATTATAGTCTTTTCTTAAGTTTATACTTCAATAATGTCGATCAAGTCATATTCCATCAAATTCATATTTTACGCGAATCTAGAAGCATAAATTCATAATCCAAGTTTTAATCCATTTCTAAATCGAATTGTATAATTTTCTATATATTTACGAGTCGATCTCAAAAAGAAATTCTCTTTAAAATTTAATTCGCAGACTACTATTATATACAGACTTATAAATCTTAACCATAACAAAATTATATATAAATCAATTTCAATATTAAAAAGCTATCTATAAAATTCGACAGATAGCTTATCTATCGACCATCAATTATCATCGTAAAATATTTATATTTCTAGTTTTGTCATCTCACCTATCCGTGTCGTCTTATATAATACTAGAGTGGACCCGCTGCTTCTAGCAACGGGAGAAAGGAGGCTACAAGCCATTTTACCCTTAAAATGTTTCTTGCTTCTAGCAGCGGGGAAAGAGCTTGAAAGTCATTTTATCATTGAAGAATTATCAAATAGAAATCCAGAAAATTAGACAGATAGAAATAATCGAGATAGATAGAGAAAAATAGATAGACAGATCGATAAATAGAGACATACCGACAAATAGACGCAGATATATACAAATAAACAGAGACAAATAGACAGATACTCACAAATAGAGACACGTACATACTAATTTCTATTCTTTCCAATTTACATCGGTCCAAGGATTCTTCGATATTTCGGGAGCAACGGCTGTCAATAATATTCGGATCTTAAAGATTTGTGGTTCCTTACTATGACGGTAACGACAAACCAGCGCACCTGTGTCATTATTTCTACGGCCGGGCCAATTTGATTTGGCGAAGATTCTCATATATGCTAAGACGCTGGACGGGCAAGTCATATATTCGACAACACTCATTTCGGCTAATATGATTCTTTAGACATACTGCGGTAGGACGAAAGTTCGTCGCACTATATAGGTCGCTCTTGCACAGGGTGCAAAGACCTTTTCCCCTTAGACTCTTGTACCAAGTCCTCCGTTCGGAACATTATAGTAGTATAATTTTATTCCAGGGGATTAAT